CTCATCTCAATCTGTCTCATCTCAATCTGTCTCATCTCGATCTGTCTCATCTCAAACTGTCTCATCTCAAACTGTCTCATCTCAAACTGTCTCATCTCAAACTGTCTCATCTCGATCTGTCTCATCTCAAACTGTCTCATCTCAAACTGTCTCATCTCAAACTGTCTCAACTCAATCTGTCTCATCTCGATCTGTTTCATCTCAATCTGTTTCATCTCAAACTGTCTCATCTCAAACTGTTTCATCTCAATCTGTTTCATCTCAATCTGTCTCATCTCAATCTGTCTCATCTCAAACTGTCTCATCTCAATCTGTTTCATCTCAATCTGTCTCAACTCAATCTGTCTCATCTCGATCTGTTTCATCTCGATCTGTCTCATCTCGATCTGTCTCATCTCGATCTGTCTCATCTCAATCTGTCTCATCTCAATCTGTCTCCACTCAATCTGTCTCATCAACAGTTTGTCTCATAACCGCGTTCCATTCGTTCAAATCTCCTTTCGCCAAGGCGCTCTGACAATGCTTGCCATCTCCGGTTCAAAATTGCTCAAATAAGGGACCTGTGGATTGGATTTGTTCGACCGTTAACAATCGGGTTTGGAAAAGGAATGAAACATGGCGGCAGGGGAACGCGGCGATGGTACAGGGGGGGGGGTTAAAAGATGAATACGTGGAGCGTGATAGCGGATGAGGGTGAAAGCATGGGTTAGCGTGATGGTAGATGGTATCTTCTTGGTTCTTTCGGTAAAGTCACGTAGAATAGAAATAATAAAAATAAAACATAATAAAAGAATTTTCACTAAATAATTTTATGTTTCATTTTTATTATTTTATTATTTCCATTCTACGTGACTTTACCAAAAAACCAAGAAGATGAATCCCTGCAGTCACGAAAGCTTTAAATCGAAAGGTAGATGGTATATTAAGAGGTGTGTTGCCCCAGATGATGGGGTCAATGGGTTGCTAGGCTGAGCGTAGCCGAGCGAAGATTGAGGTCGCATGGGCAGTGGTCTGGTGGCTGGGCAGTTGTCTGCCCTGAAGGTAGGGGTGGGGTGGGGTGAGGTAGGGTTCAGGGAACGATGGGGTAGGGGCAGTGACGAGAGGTGAGGGAACATGGGGGATGGGGTAGTGGCTCGGGGTGGAGAGAGCGGGGGAGAGGTTGGGGCTGGGGAGGGATTTGGGGTGTTAGGTGGTGAGGGTAGGGGTGGTGGAAAAGAAAAGGTGAAACGCAATAGCAAATAGAGAGGACCTGATCAGAATTACCGAGACAGATGAACAACAACTATAATGCAGGTTTTTTTGGGGGGTTGGATCTCGTAAAATATATAAATGTGTCGTTAAACCCTCCACCACCCAACACAGCCAATTAGTAAGGTTTGTCACGTATACAGAACATGCCATTTCGTTACGAGTACGGCACTAGTGTATAGTAGTGCAGTGTATAGTAGTCTATAGTGTAGTGTATAGTGTTCTAGTGTAGTGTAGTAGTGTACAGTGTAGTGTATAGTCGTGTATAGTAGTGTAGTGAATAGTAGTGTAGTGTATAGTTGTGTAGTGTATAGTGTAGCGTATAGTAGTGTAGTGTATAATAGTGTAGTATATAGTGTAGTGTATAGTAGTGTGGTGTATAGTAGTGTAGTGTATAGTGTAGTGTATAGTGAAGTGTATAGTAGTGTAGTGTATAGTGTATTGTATAGTAGTTCAGTGTATAGTGTAGTGTATAGTAGTATATAGTGTAGTGTATAGTGTAGTTGTGTAGTGTACAGTGTAGTGTATAGTCGTGTATAGTAGTGTAGTGAATAGTAGTGTAGTGTATAGTAGTGTAGTGTGTCGTGTAGTGTATAGTGTAGTGTATAGTATTGTAGTGTATAGTGTAGCGCATAGTAGCTTTTCTTAGAGCCTAGTCTCTATTGGTGTTGGACCAGATGACGCCTTTTGGCGTCCAACACCAATGGAGACTAGGCTCTAAGAAAATCTGTCTCGGGTGTGGACCAATCAACTTCAAGGACAGTGCATATCATTATCATTGTCAGAGTTGTTTCTTTTTGTTTGCATTTTGACTGCTTGTGTTGTGGTTATTGCAAACATGATGCCTTGTATAAAGGTGTCAATTTTTGTACCAGTTGAAAGGGTAAAAACCTATTACTATATTTTTCCACTGGTAAAGGAGGTCTCATAGTGTAAGTGCGAGTAGAGTCTCGGGCGTGAGGTTGGACCGCATCAACAAACAAAATAACCCCAAGCGCCACAATGGAACGGATGGGATTGTTCGCATGTTTCGATTTAAAGCTTTCGTGACTGCAGGGATTCATCTTCTTGGATTTTTCGGTAAAGTCACGTAGAAGGGAAATAATAAAAATAAAACATAATAAAATACAATTCTCACGACGTTTCGGCCACAACGCAAGCAGCCGTCCTCTGGTGAAGAACAGGTCTGTCGGAAAGACAGACAGACGTGTTCTTCACCTGAGGACGGCTGCTTGCGTTGTGGCCAAAACGTCGTGAGAATTGTATTGTATTATGTTTTATTTTATTATTGTATTATTTACCTTCTACGTGACTTTACCGAAAGAACCAAGAAGATGTTCGCATGTTGACAACGCGTGCGCTGCTGCGTATGAGTGCTCGAAACATTTGAGGTCAAACAAAGGGCGACGTTTAAAATTCAATGAACACACGTAATTTTTTTTACAAAACTCCCCGTATATTTGTGGGATTCTGAATCAGTGATGAATTAGCGAGATTTTTTTTTCTTGCAAAATGTTACAAATTCGAGTGAGATTTTGGCACGGGGCACAATAAATTTAAATACAACAACACTTAATTTGTAGCAAAAGAATGAACTTGACCGAAGCTAACAACAAGAAGGAGTTTATCTGGGTTTGGCTAGACAGGATGATAGATGATAGAGATCACCAGATAATTGTCAAATACTCAGTTCCTGGCAGATGTGAAAACATGTTGGTTAAACAGGACATTCGATTGATGTCGATATCGGCGATGTTCGATACGTAAGCTGTTTACTCGTGGCCCGAGGCTGATTGGAGATTCCATTTAAAGCTGAGCGCAGCTCGGAAACGCATCGGTGAGTAATCACGTGACAACCTCAACAGAATAGCGTATTCGACTTAATTTGAACTAACATAACATTATTAACCATTTAGCATAACTAATTAACGACGAACAACTTATATCACCACGTATATAAATATCATGGGATCGTTTCAAAGTATGACAAATAATAGGTGTTATCGTGTCGGCCAGTGAAACAGGCGTTTAAACAGACTAGGCCATAAAGCAAAAAGCTGTCTCTGGTGTAAGCAATTCAGTTTCAAACACAATGCCATCTATCATCAAAGCATGTTTGTTTGCATGTTCACTACAAGTACTGTGTGTGGTTAATGCAGACTTTGGTGTTTGAACATCTTAACACAAATGTATTATTGCCAGAAAGGGTAAAACCTATATACATATATTATTTGGTTATTTCGGTAAAGTCAGGTGATGGACGCTTGTGTTGCGAGCGAAACGTCGTGATTTATTTTATTTTATATACCTACGTGACTTTACCAAAAGAACCACAGAGTATGGATTCCTGCAGTCATGAAAACTTCAAACCTATATATATTTATATTAACATATAACAACGTATTCTATTCTATCGTAGCATAATTTGTTCAAATGTATGCAATTGTATTGATCACATCATGCTCTCATGTGGACGCACGTCGATGACGTCACACACCAGTGCCTATTTAAGGCCCAAGACTGGAGGATGTTTTCGCCATTCTGGCAACTGACCTTATGATGCTGCTGCAGCAGCCTTGGTGATGCTGCTGCAGCTGTAAACTATGAACCAAACCTTACGGACCCAATTGTTAAATGTGACTCGTTTGTTCTGTTTAAGTTACATTCTTTCTTGTGCATTCTTTCTCGTTGTATGTTAAGATCCTTCTGAACCAGTGTAATCAATCTAAGTATTGATCCATCAATTATTGTTTCATCCATTATCCAGAAATGCGTAATTTTCCATTCATTCAGCATTTCTATTATGAAAGCCCGGCGTTCCGTTTGTCCGTCAACTAATTATGAGAACCTTTGAGAAGGCTTGAGTCAAAACGTTAGACATAGTGGACCTCTCCACCCCGCCCCCAGATGTGGGGATACAAATGTTGATCCAGCAGGTTTCCAAAAATTGCCGACCCCCTGCAAAAAAATGTATTTTGCAGGTGTATATGCCTACACACCCTACATACAATATATTCAGTAGTATCTACTACACAACCCTACATAGAATAGAGTCAGTAGTATCTACTACACACCCTACATACAATAGAGTCAGTAGTATCTACTACACACCCTACATACAATAGAGTCAGTAGTATCTACTACACACCCTACATACAATAGAGTCAATAGTATCTACTACACACCCTACATACAATGGTCAGTATTGTCTACTACACACCCTACATATAATAGTCAGTAGTGTCTACTACACACCCTACATACAATAGTCAGTAGTATCTACTACAAACCCTACATGCAATAGTCAGTATTGTCTACTACAAACCCTACATACAATAGTCAGTAGTGTCTACTACACACCCTACATATAATAGTCAGTAGTATCTGCACACATTGGTTGGAGGGGGGGGGAAGAAGAGGACATCAATGAAGGCGACCGGTGAGAAGCCCTCTGCAGGAGCTAGATTAAGGCGTAATTCTAGTAGATACACATTTTTATTTCCATGAGCTTGAATTCCACACTGACGTATGATTTACGTACAACTCACACGCATCATGAATCATCCATTCAACACGTGCATCGTGCTCGTGCGCTGCGATTCCCATTGATGAATCGGTGAATTGTTGCAGGTCCTGCCAATGCCATCGCTGCTTCGTGAGTCCTGTTATTTTGACCACTTCTCTCTGTGACCCCTCCCCCACCCTACCCCGGGGCCCCCTCTCCACCTCCCCCCACAGATTTTCACCCGGCCATGGCCACAAACGCCTCTTCAGACCTCTCCTTGTTCACGCCTGACCTCATCCTCATGGTGACCCCATTCCGAGAGCCGCCGGGCGTCAAGTTCGCGGTGTTCTTCTTCACCTTGGCCATGTTCACCGCGGCCCTCATGGGCAACTGCCTCCTAATCCTCGTCATCCTTCGAGATCATCAGCTGCACAAGGCAATGTACGTGCTCATGGCCGCACTGTCGCTCACTGACATCATGTCGGTGCTCAGCATACTGCCCCGGTTCATGCAAAACGTCACGTCCTTCAACTACATCAGCCTGCGCGAGTGCATGGCACAGATGTTTTTCCTGCACCTGTCCATCAGAATGCAGAGCTTCACCCTCACCGTCATGTCCGTCGACCGTTACCTGGCCATTGGCTACCCACTCAGTTACCACTCGCTCATGTCCAGCTGCAAGGCCATTGGGGCCTTCATCGTTGCAACAGCCGCAGCGGTCACCACGTGCCTGGGCAACGTGAGCTTCGTGATCTCCCTCAACTTCTGCAAGCCGCCGGTGATAGTCGCTCCGTACTGTGACTACCTCGTGGTCCTGTTCTTGTCTTGCGGGGATTTAAGTGGTCCAAGGGCTTATATTCAAGCCGCGCTGGCCATCACCATGGTGCTTCCCGCATGCGTGATAGTTCTCATGTACGGCCTTATCCTCTACGAGTGCCGCAAGCCAGGCCTCCGCAGCGGCCAGAAGAAAGCGCTGAAGACTTGCGGCACCCACTTCTTGGTTGTCTCCGTCTTCTTCGCCGCCATTTTCTTCTCGTTCGCCAGCGGCTTCTCGTTCCTGGAGTCCCTCCCCAGGCCGCTGCGCTACGCACTCCAGACGGCGCAGTACGTGTTCCCGCCCGCGCTGAACCCGGTCATCTACGGCCTCCGAACGGCGGAAATCCGGCGCAGTTTCTCCAGGCGGTTCCGTGGGAAGGTAGTGGATGGAAAGGCAGAGAGATTGGGAGGTCTGGTGCACTGAGCAATTAGAAACCTTGGCTATCCATTATTTTAACAGCAGCAAGTGGTTCGGCACAAAAAAATTGTGTACTGGTTTAAAAATACAGTGTCTCATCAGCGGGTCATGCTCACTTGAGCCAATGCAAAACCCAGATAGCTCCCGTAGGGAAACTAGGGTTGTCACTTCTTAGATATAAAAACTGGGATTTATAAAGAAGAGTAGAAGATCTGACAAGACCACAACAGTTACATTTTACGAAAAAAATATTTAGATAAATACGTTGTTCTGAATGGCTTATTATCATTTTACTTTCCCCGTAAAGTAAAACTTTTCCGAAAAAAGTAAAATGCTAAAAAAAGCAACAACTATGCGTGCCTTCACCAGCACTTGCCATGCCTGCCCCTAGTATCTCATCCACCAGGGCCTGCAAGGCCTACCCCTAGCGTCTACCACCTGAGCCAGCCAGGCCTACCCCTAGCGTCTCTACCACCTGAGCCAGCCAGGCCTACCCCTAGCGTCTCTACCACCTGAGCCAGCCAGGCCTACCCGTAGCGTCTCTACCACCGGAGCCTGCTAGACCTACCCCTGGCATCTCGACCACCGGAGCCTGCCAGGCCTACCCCTAGCGTCTCCACCACCAGAACCTGCCAGGCCTGCCCCTAGCGTCTCTACCACCTGAGCCTTCCAGGCCTACCCCTAGCGTCTCTACCACCTGAGCCTTCCAAGCCTGCCTCTAGCATCTCCACCACCGGAGCTTGCCAGGCCTGCCTCTATCGTCTACCACCGGAGCCTGCCAGGCCTACCCCTAGCATCTCTACCACCAGAGCCTGCCACGCCTGCCCCAGGCGTCTCTACTACTGCTAAAAACGTGGAGCTGGAGGCGACGTGAACGATGTGTGGAGTCACTGGCGATCGGCCGGGGCCGAGACTGGCAAAATTCACTGCACTTGAGAACCCGCTTTGACCACGTGCTTGTTGGATCCCAGATTCGAACTAAGGGGATGTCAGCGGGGCGAGGGGTTCAACCCTCTCTGATCCACTAGAAAACCTGGCCACCTTTGTATCTAAATTTGTACTTGCTCGAAGTTGTAAATGTGTTTTCACGTTGCACGTTCGTCGAGGAGCATTCAGCGCGTATCTGTGCTTGTTTGCGGCGGATGTAACGTTATAGTCGTGTATCGCACGGTGAATGCTCTGTTTGCGTGGTCGCTGTGTTTTATTTTATTGGGTTTAGCTTTGTCGGTTGGTGATGCATGTTACTTTTGCGAATAAGACTCCTATACCCTGTCGTTTCTACTCACCGTTGACACATTCACCCATCAACTCACCTACTCATTCACTCGCTCATTCACTCACTTTTCCGAATGAGTCCGCACTGTCCTGGTCGCTTGAATTCCCAACCTGGTTACACAGAATAACATTGAACTTGCTCATTCACTCATCATCTCACTCTCACCATTTAACAACTCACCCACCAACTCACCTATTCACTCATTCACTCGCTCGCTCATTCACTCGTTCACTCACTCGTTTCACCCACTCTTCCGAATGAGACTCAACTGTCTTGGTCTCTCGAGTTTTCACCCTACTAATACAACCTTCGCCCCCTACTACTGGCAGTCTGATGCCCCTCCAGGTCCCGATTGTGAATGGGACTCATACTTATCCAAGAAAATACACTGACAACCTTTTATATCTGAATTATTGTCAAATTGAATCACTGCTACATTTCGCTGTTGATGTATTGCATTATTGTCTTATGGCATCTGTATTGTCTGAAACCATTGTTACATTTGTAATGGAATCAAAGATAGGCGCACGCAACTTCTTGGGAGGCAACACTATTTATTAATCTTCTTGGTTTTTTCGGTAAAGTCACGTAGAAGGGAAATTATAAAATAATAAAAATAAAACATTTTATTATGTTTTATTATTTTATTATTTCCCTTCTACGTGACTTTACCGAAAGAACCAAGAAGATGAATCCCTGCAGTCGCGAAAGCTTTAAATCTAAACTATTTATTAACTCAACGTACACCTATTCTAACTAACACACACCATCTCTCACTAACACGGACTCTCGGATACCACTAGCGTGACCCAGCCAGGAGGGCTACTGGCTGGTCCGCTGATTGGAGGCTTGACTCTTCACGAGGCGTCTTCACGATGCATCTTCATTCTTGACACGGGTAGCCTCCAGCCTGGTGAGGAGGCTGCTTATGTGGGCCTCGGTGTGTCCGGGCCAGAGGTCGCAACCGGGTACCCGATACCCGTACCCTACCTGATACCCGGCATCCCATACCCGGCCGGGTACGGGTACGGGTAACCGTTTGCGACCCTGGTGCGGCCGGGTACGGGTACGGGTAGACCGTGAATCACTGGTGAGTGTCTGTTTGTCACTCATTTCCCAACGTCTTGTCTCTTCTCACAATTCAAATTCCTAGAAGCAACCCACCCGCGCCTGCAACATGGCTTCATCCCAGAGGTCGCAATCAGGTACCCGATACCCGTACCCTACCCGTACCCGGCCGGGTATGGGTACGGGTACCCGTTTGCGATCCTGGTGCGGCCGGGTACGGGTAAGGAATCAAAACCCGTTTGCTACCTCTGGTCCGGGCCCCACCCTGGCCACGCCTTCCTTCAAGAACCCTCTTGAAGCTGCTCGGCTGTCCACGTGGCCCCCCAAGGTGCCCCCCGGGCCCCCGGCCCCCACCTTGATCCGGTCACGTGTCCAGCCGGGTTCACTCAGAGTGCCACGGCCTTACACAACCGCCGTGGCCCTCACCCACGGCCTCTAGATCCCTGAACCGGCCCTGGCGTCATTCCTGCCTCCAGACGAGATGACGTCATGTGCGTGTGTGTAGACCCGCGTGGTAGTGACGCTCCCCCGCATAGTGACGTCACACGTGTGAGTGTGTGTGTGTGTACACAGTAGTGACGTTACAAGTCACTACACATTGAATCATTGTCATATTGTTATTGGTATTGTGTTTAGCGCACTGCACTCTGAATATGGCGATCTAAGTTCGATATCCAGCCGTGGCTAACATCAGTGGCGACTGATATTCGGTTCAGCAGCGTCACCAGCCAATTGGGTACGGTATGACACGTGGCGTGTCCCGATAAAAATGAACACGCATTGTGACGTCATTCATTTGAAAGAAACGATTTCACTTTTTCAACACGCGATCGCTTACGCAGCTTGACTGTATATTTAACAAAAGAACTGTTCAATGTGTTCACTGGCTGTGGTGGCACAAGTGGGCAGCGAAACGCGCTGTGAGCCTGGCCACGTGAGTTCGAGTCTCGGCGCAACTGAGCTAAGGCAGCACGGAGCCCTCGCGGTACGGGTCGTTTTCCACTGGCCATTGGTCGAACCGAGCCGGAACCAAACCGTGCTGCACGGTGAAGACACAGTGTCACACACCGCGTCATCTGCATATGTCTCGTTGCGTGTGCGCGCATGTGTGTCTGTGTGCAGTGAGTAAAACCACATTAATCACAGTCGGGTATGCAACCATATACGTTCCTGTAATGTCGGTGGGAGTTTCAGTAAAACAAAAACAAACATTCAAAGTGGCTTTACTTTTCTCATTCATGTATGCAGCTGAGAGGTGATGACAAGCTGTACAACCGACTATCATCAGCATCAGAAGTCAGCATGACGGGAAATCATCGTCAACAGTAGCAGCAGCACAATGATCATTATTGAGCGAATACAAATTATCTCTCTCTCTCTCCATCTCTGTCGTTCGTTCGCGTTCCTCGGTGTGACGCAAAGCACCTCCCTCCCTTTCTCCCCCCCCCATTCACCCAACCCCTCCCCCCACAACAGCCGCGTCACCGCCATTACCCCACGGGGCCACGTGCACAGCCTCGCCACCCTGGCTCGGTTCAAGTCGCCAATTAGCCACCGCTACCCGCATCGCCATTCTAGTCCCTCCCCTGGGGTCTGTGGGGTGGGTGAGGAGGATGGGGTGGGGTGGGTGGGTGAGGTGGGGTGGGTGGTGTGGGTGGGGTGGATGGGTGTGGGTTGGGAGGGTGGTGTGGATGGGTGGGGTGGGTGTGGGTGGGTGGAGTGGGTGAGTGAGTGAGTGAGTGGTCAGGGGGTGGAGGGACAGAGAGGGAGGGGGGCAGGGGGGACCTGATCCCAGGGCGACGTGAGTTTTGCGCAGTGTTTATTTTCAGGGCGAGTCAAGGATATAAAAAGGGATGGTGGTTGACCGGTAGGTGGACAGATTGACGGGAGGCAGATTGACTCGGCAGCGTTGTCGAGTTGCACGTTCACTTTGCTGCTGCTGCTGCTGCTCGTGCTGCCCGGTGTTTCGTGGGGACAGGAATCGCCCGGGTGCAGGTGAAGTATCGACTTTGTCAACCGCAGTGAAGGAATCCACGCGTCGCCTGTCAATCTGTGTCCTGTCAATCTGTGTCCTGTCAATCTGTCTCCTCTCAATCTGTCTTCAGTCAATGTGTCTCCTCTCAATCTGTCTTCAGTCAATGTGTCTCCTGTCAATCTGTCTCCTGCCCATATGTCTCCTGTCATTCTATATCAGGTCGATCTGCGTCACTAATCTGGACCCATCAATCAGTCTCGGCAACATTCAATCTGACTATTCTCTCGCGTTGCCGACCGTTTTTTCACAATAACGTTGCAAGGCGTCCTACGACATTGCAATGAGTGCCTCGGTGTGAATGCAATGATGCAGATTTAAAAAAAAACGACCTCATATCAAGAATTGGTGTGGTGGAATGGTGGTAGAGTGGTTCGTGAAAAGAGCTATAAACTGAACTAAGGCTAATATAATGCTCAGAAGATATATTAAACCGACTCACGACTACGCTCCCCGTTTTGTATGCATGTACGTTTGCATGTTGAACTTCTTTCACGCCGTACATAGCCAACCATGCTAAATGAAGGTCTGGCGGAAGGACGACAGACTAAACACAAAAAGCTGTTCTAAAAAAAAAAACAATGCAGCTCTGCGAGCACTGGATGGACACAGTCGAATCTTGCAGTACCCTTCACGACACGTGCCAGATAATGTTTATATACGCTGCAGCTTGGAAATGTTTTTTTTATTGTATTTGTCAGATGTCCCGTAGAGTAGCGAGTTGCAATAATTCGAGCCTTGTCGATACTAAGCTGCACACCACCATGTTTGGCTATGTCACGATTCAATAGTGGTCGAATGTTTCGTAGAGCCCCTGACGTGACAATTTCAGGACCTGGCTATATTTGGCACGTGGTGATCAAACGACATATTCCACTCGAGTATGGTGCCCAAGGTTCATTAGATGCAACTAGAAAAAGTTGATCATGTAATCAGTTTTCGCCCGAACCCCGAGCTTCCAACCGGCAGAGCCCGTAATTGTTCTGCATTAAGCGGCGACTCGTTTCGTGCAAGTCACGAGTGCACCGTTCGAATCGCAGTCGCAATCGGTCGAGAAATGCACCCTCCTCGGGTGTGTTTCCTGAAGACCTTGATTTGAAGTTTTCGTGACTGCAGGGATCCATATTCTTTGGTTCTTTCGGTAAAGTCACGTAGAATGGAAATAATAAAATAATAACATAAAACATCATAAAATAATTCTCACGACGTTTCGGCCACAACGCAAGCAGCCGTCCTCAGGTGAAGACCAGGTCTGTCGGGGAGACTCATTCAGACGCTATCTCCCCGACAGACCTGGTCTTCACCTGAGGACGGCTGCTTGCGTTGTGGCCGAAACGTCGTGAGAATTATTTTATTATGTTTTATTTTATTATTTTATTATTTCCATTCTACGTGACTTTACCGAAAGAACCAAGAAGATGAATCCCTGCAGTCACGAAAGCTTTAAATCGAAATTTGGATCCATACTCTTTGGTTCTTTTGGTAAAGTCACGTAGGTATAAAATCATCTCCAGTTCAATCTCCAACTCCCAGCTCCGCCCACTTCCCCCCCCCCCTCCAGACATTTTGTCGTTGATCGCCCTTTAATCCCTTCTAGCTGCTTTTCACTCGGCAGCGATCCACTCCCCCTACCCCACACCCCCTCTCTGTCTCTCCTCCCTGGCTCCCCCCCCCCCTCTCTTACCTATATAGCCTCTTGTTACAGCAGCCCTTTTGCCCACTTCAGAAATTGTTTCTTGTTGTGGTTGTCCCACCTGATGGCGGACGCTTGTGTTGCGCCCGAAACATCGTGATTAAATTTATTTTGTTTTTATTTTATACCTACGTGACTTTACCGAAATAAGATTCCTGTCACCCCCCTGTACGAGTCTTGTTCGTGTGTACCCTCTCCCTGGCGCTCTGTCACCAGGTGGGTCGATTGGTGCATCGCATTCTTGTTCGTACTTCTATCGTCGATACGAAAACTAAATGTATCGTAATTGAGATACAATCGTGCATAATTATTCTAATGTATTTTCGTAATATATTTTAAAAATCAATCGTTCCATATTAAATCATCAGTTTATGCAATAATCAGTCTCTCTACGTATTCGCCATCCTTTCGCAACGAAAGTTCCTGCTAGTTATGCAGAATATTATCTCCATCACACGCTGGTCAGCGCTGGTTGGTGGTGCAGGTGGGGAGCATAGATGCACCGTCCAACGATGTGTATTTCTGCACTGCCCCATACTGTTCAACACGCCGGTTCCGCAGCGGTCACACCTCTTAGCCCGTTATCTGTGCACGGAGATAGTCCGGCCGAACATCATCCAGACTCAACCCTGCTCAGCTTGCGAAATCTGTCCAATTCGGGGGTTGAATTCCGGATATATTTGTTCCCAACGTCTCTAAAACTGCTGTGGGTTAGATTCAGTGGTCACGTTTCATTTGTACTCTACACATACAGCTAGCTCTCGTTTCACGCGGGGGTTGTGTTCATAAAAAAGAAGCAAATTCGCGTAAATTAAAACGTACATTTCCCATCACAAATACATGGAATGGTTCGGGTTAGGGAAAGCACACCATCGAATCTCATACTTACATCGACTCATTTCACTGATTAGAGTAACACATTATATGTACGATACTACCTGCACGTATTAAAGATAGTAACGGCCTATTTTACGGAGTGGGGAGTGGTCGGAGTTACGGGATAAAGAGGGGCGGTGGGGTTTTTTTCCAGAATGGAGCGCAAGAAGGGAGATTTTTATACTCTTTGGTTCTTTCGGCAAAGTCACGTAGGTATAAAGTAAATTAAATCACGACGTTTCGATTGCAACACAAGCAATCATCATCAGGTGGGAAAACCACAGCAAGAAGATTTTTTTTGCTGAAAAAGGGAGATTATGATTCTTCTGCCCACGCTTGTGGTTGTTGTCATATTGCTGCACCTCAGCCGGCATCTCGGCTGAACTATGCTGCCTCCCTGACTAACAATGAGCTCGCAAGCGCGTCCCGTACACCTTGGCCCAACGCACTGGAGCACGTTGCTTTAATGATAGTGCACGTATGATGAAAAGAAGTGTAACTTAATCGAACGTGTTCTTTCAAAATCGCGTTAAGCAAAGGCGCGTGATACGCGAAGCGATTTTGCATTATGATGTGCGCGGGGCTAAGTAAGATAATACAAAAGTAAAATTGTACATTAAATTACAAATATACATTTTAGCAAAAAATATGTAACGTGAATTTTCGAAAGGAAGGTGGTCTAGTTTAGGCACGGAGAGGTAACACGAGAAAATGTGCACAAAATGTGAATAAATGTAAAGAAAATGGATGAACATGTCGAGAAATACAAACTCAAACAAAGCCCATTACTGGGGTTCAGGTCGAGGCCTATTCAAAGCATTTCCTTCAAACTCACCAATGGTTCGGGAAGCAATTTAGATGCAAGCGGGAGGCCAAGTGATTCCCAAAAGCGAGGGGCGTGAATTCAGAATAATTCCAGACCCAGAAGCCTTGAATTATAATATCAGGATGCAAGGCACGTTCAATGCGGTTTGCACGAATTAAATTTTGAGGGTTTGGAGTTATTTCATTTGGTGCATGTTGTTGTAGTATTGTTTGCTGCATTATGATTCTGGCGACTGCATTTGATTCACATCGTGTCGCTGATGGGATACGTGAATAGTTGAGGTTAAAGAGTTTATCTAATTCGCTGCAGTGTTCGTCATTAGTAAGTTATTGTTAGTAGAGTTACCATGTTAATTGCGTTGTTACTATTTTCTGCTGCTAATAATATTGCGGTATGTTTATATTACATAGTGGTCTGGTGTAAAATGGAATAAAATGGACGATTTTGGCAAGAAGAACAGGTGGTGATGTTATCTGTGACCGCCGGGGGGCGCTAGAGGAACCGGAAGTACCAGTAGGGGGATCTGTGAAGGACAGATGCACGACCACGCCGACTGAGAGGCTTAGTGTGATGCACCCTGCTTTGTAATGATCTACCTATCGCGTGCCCATGAGCTCCATCTGCACGGTGGATCTCTCTCCGGCATATTCCCCTCCCTTGGCAGGCACTATGTAGTTATTCTCCACTAGTGGCCATCAGATGATGTGCACGAATAATAAATAATCGATTCTCACATGGATTGTGAGATGCGTGAATTGGTCAATACATTGCACTTCCCATCAACACCATCACTGCAGCACGAGTCTTGTTATTTTCACGATCTCTCACTGTGAACCCTCCTCCCCACCCTTCTGTACGTTCCACAATCTCTCCCCCCACCCTCCCCTCCCAGAATCTCACCCGGCTATGGCAACAAGCGCCTCTTCACACGTCTCCTTGGTCATGAACGACCTCATCCTCATGGCGACCCCATTTCGAGAGCCACCCAGCGTCAAGTTCGTGGCGTTCTTCTTCACCCTCTCCATGTTCACCGCGGCCCTCATGGGCAACTGCCTCCTGAGCCTCATCATCCTTCGAGATCATCAGCTGCACAAGGCAATGTACGTGCTCATGGCCGCGCTTTCGCTCACCGACGTCATCTCGGCACTCAGCATCCTGCCCCGGTTCATGCAGAATGTCACGTCCTTCAACTACATCAGCCTGCGCGAGTGCATGGCGCAGATGTTCTTCCTGCACCTGGCCATCAGAATGCAGAGCTTCATACTCACCATCATGTCCGTCGACCGCTACCTAGCCATTGGCTACCCACTCAGGTACCACTCGCTCATGTCCTGCCGCAAGGCCATCGTGGCCTTTATAGCCGTGATGGCATCGTGCATTCTCATGTGCCTGGGCAACTTCAGTGTCGTGGTCCCCCTCAACTACTGCAAGCCGCCGATTATTGTCGCTCCATACTGCGACTACCTCGTAGTTCTCTTCTTGTCATGCGGGGACGTGAGCGGTCCCGTGGCCTATGCCCAAGCAACGCTGGTCATCATTATGGTGCTTCCCCCGTGCGTGATAATCCTCATGTACGCACTCATCCTCTACGAGTGCCGAAAGCCAGGACTCCGCAGCGGTCAGAGGAAAGCGCTGAAGACTTGCGGCACTCACTTCTTGGTGGTCTCCATCTTTTTCTCCGCCATTTTCTTCTCGTACACCAGTGGCTTCTCGTTCCTGGATTCGCTCCCTAGGCCGCTGCACTACGCACTCCAGACGGCGCAGTACGTGTTCCCGCCCGTGCTGAACCCTGTCATTTACGGCCTCCGTACGGCAGAAATTAGGCGCAGTTTCACCAGGCAGTTCCGTAGAAAGGTGGTGGACGGACATGCAGAGAGCTCAGGGAATGCAGGGCACTGAACTATTAAAGATATCGGGGTTTGAGATATTTATGAATCCAAACAGCCACCGGTGATTGTACCTGGTTATTAAATGTCGCTAGGCAATAGTCTCAGCTCTGTTATCAGTGGCCACGTGAAAATCACAACGGCATTACATTTGGTTCCAGCACCCATTGCATCACCAACCAACAGCGGCCAATCATCGTGAAGCAAAGTTAAGCAAGCCCCATAAGTGACACGGTGTCGAGAGGTCTTCATCCAGTAGTTGATTGAAAAATGTACTCTTAATAAAAAAAAAGTACAATATAACGATTTTAGATGTTTCACTGTCGCTTTTTTCATAAAGTATTCCCTCTTTAAGCTTGATTTGAAGCTTTCGTGACTGCAGGAATTAATACTCATTGGTTCTTTCGGTAAAGTCACGTAGGTAGAAAAGATAATAGATCACGATGTTTAGATCGCCACAAAAGCAATCGTCTTCACGTGGGAGACGATTGCTTGTGTGGCGATCAAACGTCGTGATCTATTATTTTTTCTACCTACGTGACTTTACCGAAAGAACCAAAGAGTATGGCTTCCCTCTTTAATCTCGAACTTGCTATCTGCAATTTAGGCTATGCGCAAATTGCATATGGAACTCACCACAACTGCATCGACAGGGAGAGTGAAAGTGACGAGATGAAGTAATACGAGAGAATGTGATGTGAGAAAGTGATGAGATCACTTGATGAGAGATAAAGTGATGAGATAAATTGATGAGACAGAATGTGATGAGATACATTGATGAGAGATAACGTGATGAGATGAAGTGATGCGAGAAAGTGATGAAATAAAGTAACGATTTAAAGTAATGGGATAAAATGATGGGCAAGAAAGCCTATTTACGTATTTATTTAAAGGAATTAATAGAAAATAGAAGGATTTCACAGAAATTCGGATAGATTTTCGTAGGCCAATTACCCACGAAATTAGATTTTCACGAGCATCTTTGGAACGTATCCCTCGCGAATAACGAGGGAATTCCGCACGTGCGCACACAGAATAAGGTTAGGAGGTTATGTTCGGCACATGAAGTAACGTGGCCACTGTCGTGTATGCACCTTACACATAACAGATCATAAGATAGTGTTTTAACAATACTGTATAGGGTCAACGTGTGTATGGATGATGTATCAGTAAATCTGGAAAATGTTTTACCGTGTAACTAATATACAAAATAAAAAAAGGCTAAACACAAACTCAAATGCGACTGAGGTTCATTTGTGAGAATGTTTGGTTGAAAATAAATAAATGCACATATTTTACCCACGACTGGAGGTGACTGGGTGGCTTAGGTTGCCACAGTCGCGAGATGTTAACTGCCTCGCCTGGAATGCAGGTCTCATGGGTTCAATCCCGACCCTGATGCCTACATATTTGGAGTTTGCATGTTCTCCCCGTGGTCACGTGTACTTGTCGCCAGATCCTCCGGTTTCCCCCTCCACATCCACATGCCGACGACAAGCAACTTTACATCCATACGAAATTTCGATTTAAAGCTTTCGTGACTGCAGGGATTCATCTTCTTGGTTCTTTCGGTAAAGTAACGTAGAAGGGAAGTAATAAAATAATAAAAATAAAACATAATAAAATAATTCTCACGACGTTTCGGCCACAACGCAAGCAGCCGTCCTCAGGTGAAAACCAGGTCTGTCGGGGAGACAGCGTCTGAATGAAAAAGACGCTGTCTCCCCGACAGACCTGGTATTCACCTGAGGACGGCTGCTTGCGTTGTGGCCGAAACGTCGTGAGAATTATTTTATTATGTTTTATTTTTATTATTATGTTTTATTTTTATTATTTCATTACTTCCCTTCTACGTGACTTTACCGAAAGAACCAAGAAGATGAATCCATACGAAAGCTGACTCGTGTGTCTCCACATTAAATAATACATTGTTAACTGGTTACAATAACATATCATATTGACAATACTCCCATACGTGAATTAAAGATGGTAACAGCCTATTTATAACAAAAAAGGTTAAACAAAAAGATGTTTAACACGTAGTGAGATTCTTAGCGGATATATTGAGAGACAAGTTTGTGCACAAGAATAAGTTCACGTGGACAAGAGCTTCAAAATGGCGCGCGAGAAGGAGATGATTCTGCCTTCGCTTGTGGTTGTCGTGCTTCTTGCACCTCAGGCAGCATCGCTACTGAACTTTACTGCCCGACTAAAGATTTGCTTGCATCGCATTCCGTTCACCATGGCCAAACGCGCCAGAGTGCGTTGCTTCAATAATAGTGTGCGCGACATGAAAACAAGTGTAAATTAATATAACCTGCTTTGTCGAAATTGCGTTACTTAAGCGCGCGGCTGTATTAATGTGTTTATTTGTCAGTGATGTGAATGTGATTTTGCGTGCCAGCATGCGAGAGTTTGTTTGTATGTGCGCGTAACGCGTGTGGACCTGTCGTGTACAATGCAGGTTTCAATTGGCGCTCGCTAACAAGTCTGTTAACAAGCGGCTCTACGGGGCAAAACGTTTCGTCGCCTATTTGTGACAGTGCGTGTTTGTGCGTGGTGCGAGTCGTAGGCAGTCCCTCGAGGTTCGAGGATGACGTCCATCAAGTTTGGTGGTGGCTCTTGACGTGGCTGAGGAGTCCAATTCTGAATCGGAACATCTTTGGGGATCTTTGTGTTTGCAACAGTGCGTCTCTCGCTATGTTACAGGGGAGCGGTAGTCGTCGAGTAAGGCACGTTACACAAAGCAGATCACAAGCCAGTTGGGCATTGGGGGCGCCACGCCAGAGGTCGCAACCGGGTACCCGATACCCGTACCCTACCCGATACCCGGCTACCCATACCCGGCCGGGTACGGGTACCCGTTTGCGACCCTGGTGCGGCCGGGTACGGGTACGGGTAGGCCGTGAGTCACTGGTGAGTAACCGTTTGTCACTCATTTAGGGTAGGGTACGGGTAGGGAACAGCTACCCGTAACCGGCTGGGTACGGGTACGGGTACCCATTTGTGACCCTGGTGCGGCCGGGTACGGGTACGGGTAAGGAATCAAAACCCGTTTGCGACCTCTGATCCACAGTGCCGGCGTTGGCTTCCTTTACCTTTCCGTTTTTGGTTGCGATCCGCTTTGGCATCGAGTTCGTTGGGTCTCGGAGTGAGCCCGGGGGCTGGTGGATGCAGTGGCGCCACCCCTAGGCGGTCGGCAGTCTGCTGCCTCATCCCAGTGTTTGAAGGCTAATTTTTTTCCGCGTTTTCTATGACGGCTCGAGGGTGCCCTTGAACCACGTGCTTTGTCCTCCCATCGTCCGCTGACACTTTGGAGAGCTGGGAGAAAATGGATCTGACGGGGAAGGCGCTTCACCTGGATGCGGATGCAGTGGTCGGTCCATCGAAGGATTATCTTCAATGCTGGTGGTGTCAGCTTAGAGGGGGACACTCGGCACTTGTGCAGCGATCTTCCCGCTTGATCGTGGGGCGAGCGTGTGTGCGTTTGCGGTAGTTTAGCGGTTAGCGCTACGCTGCACAACGAACCCGGCGACCCGAGTTCAATTCCCGCTCACGGCCAACACCGGTGACGATTATCTGGAACGGTCATGGGCCTCCCTTAGGTCGACTCAGCCTCAAATGAGTACCTGGTGGGGTGTGTAGTAAACATCGCCACTGGGGAGACAAAGGCGACCGGGCGTGGTGCTGGCCACCCACCCCCACATGTGCTGTGCCGTCCTTCATAGGTGCTGCTCGCTAACAGCACTTTGCCCTAACAGTCTGTGCAGGCTCTCCGGGGGATCTTTGTGTTTGCGAAAGTGCGTCTCTCACGTTCTTCGTTACAGGGAAGCCGTAGAAGTCGATAAAGGCGCCTTACACATAGTAGATCACAAGCCAGTTGTTTAGCAATACATTGTCAACGTGTGTGTGTGTGGGTGTCGTTCTTGTAAATCTGGCAAATAAATAGATTACCCTCTCGCTAATATAAAAAATAAAAAGCAATATTTAAAAATACTTTTTAAAAAACACGCTTTAATGAAATGTACCATACGAGTAATGGCAGAACTCCACGACTCCAGGAAGTGGTCCCGAAGCTTGCCATAACGTAAGGGACCGTGGTAATTTACAGCCAACGTGAGTTGAGCGTGGATAATTAGACCCAAGCCGAAACATAAGATAAAAAAGATTGCTTAAAATATATATATATATTTAATGATAGAATATAGTATTGTCATCATTATGACGTAAGTATACCAAGTTTGCAGTCGATACCACATTGGGGAGTGGGTAAAAATTGAGTTACAAGATTTGAGGATACAACAGAGTTAAATACAAGCGTGTAAAAAGTGTGTAATAATAAAAAGTCAAAACCCAAACACGTCTGAGGTTCATATTATTGGGTCTTTAGTTTGCCGAAAGACCCAAGCATATGAATTCCTGCAGTCACGAAAGCTTTAAGACAAATATTCTTTACGTCTGATGTTCATTTGCGAGAAATTGTGATCGTGTCTTGAAACGAAATGGATAAAAACAATCTAATTTATCCACGGGGGTGGTGATTGGGTGGCCGAGAAGGCATCGTATTGAGATATCCAGAGAACACATCATACACCAGGCAGTGATTACCATAGGCTCGGACACTGTATGTGTATGTGCCTCTGTCTCTATCTGTCTTTCTCTGTCTCTATATGTCTCTCTCTTTGTGTGGACCTATCCCTGTCCCTCTCCCTATGGCTCTCTCTGTGTGTGTATCTCTCTCTGTGGCCCTCTCTCTCTCGATTTCTCTCTAACCCAGGGCACTCCCCCCCACGCGTTCCTCTACGTGACGCAAACAAAGCCCCCTTTTGCCCCCACCCCTCCCCCCACTTCCTCTCTCTCCCCACTTCCACCCACCCCCCCCCCCCACTATCAATTCCCTTTCCTACAACAGCGGCATCACCTCGATTACCCAACGGGGCCACGTGGTCGCCTTGCCACCATGGCTCAGTCCATGTCGCCAATTAGCCACCGCTACCCGCATCGCCATTCTAG